ATAATTATTTAGATTATTTAGCTAATTTAAGTTATTTTCAATTCTGATAGAGTTGTTACAATTGTCAATTGAGTTGTCAATAGGGTTGTTAGAGTCGTCAATAGTGTTATTAAAATTATCAATAGAGTTGTTTTAAATTATTAAAAGTCACTTTTATTTGTTTTGCGTAATTCCAGCATATTTAGAATTGTCAATAGAGTAAGTTAAAGTGTTCAAATAATAATTAAAAGGCACTTGGCACAAAGTAGCATATGGAAGTGTTTTGGCTTGATATATTGTAGCGCTAATTGTAATGAATTAGTACATGAAAGGCACATGATTTTATACTGTAGTGGAAATAATGAAGTAGTGCTTAGGACATCTACTTGATACAGTAGCGCATAGTAGTAATTATAATTAATATGGCAAGTGGCTGGCATTATGTAGCATGTAATAAAGAAGTGGCACTTAGAAGTATTATGTAAATGCAAGTGGCTTGCTACAGTAGCGATGACTTATAGTAATATTTAATGGCAGTCGTTTTACATACTGCAGCTACTACGTTCCGGTTTACAATTCAAAATATTTAATAATAATGATTTAATATCTTTAATAAATGATTTTTTAGGATTTATAAAGTAGAATTAATAGAATTTTTGACCGATAATTAATTAACTGATTTTAGTCAAAATAGTCTGAATTATTATGCGGTTTATGGTAGTAATTTTGGTTGATCTGTTGGGTGACATTTTTGTTGAAAAATATGAATTTTGCAGGTGAAGTCGAATTAAGTTGAATGCTTCCGGTTTATGGAATTGTGTTTGTTTCTAATTTGCCGGTATAGGCGGTAAAAATTAGTTATCCGGAAATTAATGAAATTTGATGGGGTAACTAAGTTAAATGCGTAGGTAATTATGGTTGAGTTATTTTTTGAGATTTCGACGTTTTCAAGGGCTAACCGGAGTTGTGTTTGATTTTAATAAATCATGGAAGTAACATTGTTTAAACTTGTATGTTACTTGATTTGTGAATTATATTTGCAATGCATGTACAATTGTTGGTATTTCATTGTGTTGGAATATGTAGTATGTGTATGAAGGTCGGAAGTGATCTTAATTGCATACGAGTTGTTGATTGTACATTGCATGGCATGGTTGGTCTTGAAATAGAGACGGTGAAACGTGGGTTCACATTTTATAGACGTTGATCCTTGAATGGAAATAGACGTAGTGGCTTTGACCCGGAAAGGGAACATAGGCGGTGAAACTTGGGTTCACAAAAAAACAAATAGACGTTGATCCTATAGTGGAAATAGACGTAGTGGCTTCGATCCTATGTGGAAAAATAAGCGGTGGAACTTTGGGTCCATAAGTCGGTACCGCATTTGCATTGGTGGCATCGAGTTGTGAGTCACATGCATAATGATATATATTATGAGTTTATGTGAAGATGATTGAGTTTGTGAAATTGGTTATGATGTGAATAAGTCGTTGTCGAATACATTGTTGTTGTTGAATATGTTGTTGTTTCTTTATGTTGTTGACTTGTTGTGACATATATCATCTAAAGGTTGTGAATTAGATGTTATGTCGTGTTGATGTTTTGTTGAGATTAAATATGTTGATAAAAAGCTGTGAAGTGGTGAATTGTATGATCCAATCCTAAGATATTATATATTGTATATCCGATTATATGGTTCGATATCTCACCCTTTCTGTTTGAATGTTGCCCTCTGTTGGTAACGTGCAGGTATTCAAGAAGGATAGTTATTACCTCGTTAGTTCGAGTCGGTGTCGTTGCTCTGATATGTAGCACTCGGGGGGATGAACGCTTGATATTTAATTGTTGTTAATTATTTTTGTTGCTAAATTTTGAAGTTGTTTTCATTAAAAGACTTGTTGTCTTAAAGTTATTTTGAGTCTGATAAGATGTTATGGTATTTTCAGTTGAATTCTGTGAATCCGCTGCGTAGTAATGAAACTTGTTTTATTTTTAAAAACTAAGCTGGTTGTTATCGGTTCATCCGAAGCTCATGTGTTATGTATCTGAACTATAGATGATTGAATGTCGTAGTTTCAAGTTGAGAATGTAGCATTCCATTTGTTTGTTGGAAATTTTCATAACTCTGATTTTATTTAACTCGTTGGGTAGAAATGGGGTGTTACATTAGTGGTATCAGAGCAGGTCGGTCCGTCCGGCTAAGTTGTCTAATGTTGTTTGTTCCTTAGTACGCGACAAGTGTGTGAAACACTGTCGGTGCTTGTTGTTTTTCTAATCGAGTTCTATGCAGGAGTTGGTTTGGAGATAAGCGGGGGAGAAACTTTGTTTCTCTGATACATTTTGGTTGTAAGATGTTAATTCGGTATGCTGTTGATGGCGACAGTGCAAGTATTACTGAAGTTTTGTTGTTTCCCGAATATGAAGGTGTAATGGATTAAAGACTTTGTTTGTTAATCAAGTTGGAACATCTTGAAGGAGGATGATCATACATTGTTAATGTTTACTTCTCGAAGGATGAGGAGCAATGTAACGATTGTTGATATATGAGTAGATTGTGAATCTCTGATATTTCTGAAGGTGATTTCTAAGTAATCAGGACAATTTTTAGAAGATGGAATTTGGAATTGCGATGTCTCAGCGCTGCTGGTGGACTTTGAAGTTATCGGTTTGAGTAGCCTTGTGTAAAGATGTTGACGTTTGAATGGTGATAGAGTGACAGATTTATGTAGACCTTGTCGTGGGATCCTTGTAAGTGATTGTAAAAGATGTTGAAGTTGTTGGAATATTTTTGAATCACGAGTCAGAGTCGGAAATGCGAGGAGATGAGTATGATTTCATGAATGGTAAGTGTTGGTACTGATACAAAGAGATTTTGTTCTGATGTTATAATAAAGTGTGTGAATGTATGTCGCCGCATGACGTCGGTGTTCGCATTTTCGGATAACTTTGGAAATTCATATCTTGTGTTTCGAGTATCGGATTAGTGTTCTGTTTGAACCTATGAGGAGATAGAAATGTATTCTATCATATGAGAGTGTTTTCAAATATGGTTGATACATTCCCATATGGAGGAACTTTGAAGTCGTTTATGGAACTAGAGGTTTTTCTTTGGGCATGATTGGTTATTATCGTGGTTGTTCGAGACGAGGTCAAGCATAATATGTTGTTGGCGAATAAGTTGAGAAATGAGACGTTCAGCATTAAAAGGGATAGTCATTCGTCATTTCAAGTATAGGATGTTGCATTTGAAGAAAGTTTTGTAGAACTAAAGAAAAGATTGACGAATGCTCCAGTATTGGTTTTTCCTAATCCGAGCGAGTCATTTGTAGTGTATTATGAACGCGTCTAAGATGGGACTTAGTGGTGTCTATGTTGAAGGTTTGGAGACATTGTCTTTATGGTTCTAGATTTGAAGTGTTTAGTGACCATAAGAGTTTGAAGTATCTTTTTGATCAGAAAGATTTGAATATGAGGCAGCGAAGGTGGTTAGAATTGTTGAAGGATTATGATTTCAGTTTGAATTATCATCCAGGAATAGCTAATGTTGTGGCCGATGCGTTAAGTCAAAGGACTTTATATATGTCGGTAATGATGGTTAAAGGGTTAGAATTAATTGAACAGTTTAGAGATGTGAGCTTAGTTTACGAAGTGACCTCGAAGAGTGTTATGTTGGGAATGTTGAAGATTAACAATGATTTTCTGGACAGTGTCAAAGAAGCTCAGAAGTTAGATGGGAAATTGGTAGATTCGATGGTTGGACTCGATCAGTCTGAGAATGATGATTTCGAGTTAGATGCGCAGGGTTTATTGAGATTTTGTAATCAAATTTGTATTCCTGATGATGCGGAGATGAAGAAAGTAATTCTTGAGTTGGAGGATACTTAACCTTCGTGTGAGGCTAAGTGAGTGTAATATAGACCGTGTAATATGTTGAGCGTTGGTGTCTCATCGACAAAATCAAATGAGAGGGAAATTGTGGGAGTATTTACAAACCTCATTGGTAATTATTGGATTATAGTGCATTAGGTGACTTGAGTACAAGTTCTAAAGGAACACTATTATAGTTTAGTAACGATGGTTTATACTTCATTATGATTGTCGGCTATCTATTGACAAATTGAGGAACTAATCACCCTTAATCTCTTGTTGATAGTAGACGAGATCGTGTTGGATGGTATAAACTTGTCTTTCTATCTTAATGGTGAGTGAAGTGGTAAATGTTATATCAAAAGGTAGTCGCTCACCAGTTTGTGTGAAGTAATAGAGGAATTGCTAGGAAATAGTTGTGATGTATTGAACAATTCGAAGTAGTGGGTTTACATGTAAGCTAACGTCGCAAAGTGAAAGATTGAGAATATCAAGTGAACAATGGTTTTATGTTAGATGTTGAGGAAAGCCTGGAACTGGAATGAGGATTGTAAACTGTATAGTTGGCAGAAAATTTAATGAGGACGGTGACTTAAGATGGTTTATCAGAGTTGTGCAGCTAAAGCGTATGTGGCGCAGTTGCTATGAGTATATGCCTCTACGTGCTTGATTTGGTAGATTGTTGGTGTAGGGATGATGTGCCAAGGTGTTGTGATATCTCAGAGATATTTGTTGATCCTATAAGGAATTTATTGTAGTTGTTAGTGGGTGGTGAGTTGTGTGTATATTTGTTTAGTTATATTGTTAAGTTGATGTTATAATAATTTTGTCCCCATTGTTGTGATGTTGTTGTTAGTTACTGTAAATGATGGATAATACCCCATGATATGATGAAGTTGATTATGTTGGATATGTTGATGTCACTATAAGAGTGATACGACGATATGAATGGAGTTGTTGATATTGTGTTGATAATTGACATACATATGTATATATGGGAATTAAATTGTGTATGTGTTTTTAGTGTTGAAAATGTTGTTAAGATGCTAATGTAATATTATATATCCAAGTATAAGTGTGCTACCAATTTAAATGTTGATATGTCAAAATATTGTTGAAATGGTTGATAAGTTATTAATGATTATGTCACGAACATGTTGAATGATTAGCACGTGTGGATTTGAATTATATCATATTAAGCGTTGTTATGTCGAGAAAGTAGTGGTCGAAGTGTTGCCAAACGCGAATTGAAGATTAGAGAGTTGGATGCAAAATTCGCATTAAGAGTGAACGTATCAAGTAGATTTTCGAGGACGAAAATATTCTAAGTGGGGGAGAGTTGTAACGCCCCGGTATTTAATTATTTATTTAATTTAATATTTTTTAATATTTTTTTATTAATTCAATTTTTATCGTCGAAGTCGGAATTATTTTATTAAGTCGGAATAATAATTAATCGGATTTAATTTGGTGGAATTAAGTTAAAGTGTTATTTTACTATTAAGGTTAAATATGAAATTGGGCTTAATTAGTGGTGTTGTATAGTAAAAGTGTGGTGTAGCATTTAGGCCTATTTTATTTTTTTATGATTAAATAGAATATAACTATTATATTAGAATAGAAGTAGAGAAGAATAGAAGAGAGTATTGTATCAGGAAGAAAAATAGAAAAGAGGAAAATAGGGTTTGGGAGAAGAGAAGAAGAACAAGAGGAAAATTTCTCCAAGTGCCAAGATTCCCTAAAAATTCGGTTGAAGTCTCTTAGAGTTGCTCCTAATCCAAGGTAAGGGTGGGGTTCTGACTCTATAATATGGCGTATACTTAATAGTATATGAAATTGGGTTATAAAAATTTATTTCTAGTATGTTTGAAATTGGTATATTGATGAAATTGAGAGATGAATTAGGACCCAACATATTTAGATAATACATATATTTAAGTACATTAGTATTTTCTTTACAAAAACCATAGTTTGCTACTGTAGCGATAGAAATAATTAGCACTTAAAGGTTTATGTTTTTCTGTTCCAGTACTGATAATACGAAGGAGTAGTATTTTTAAAGGCACTTGAAATTTTAGGCTTGTTGTAGCATAGAAATGTAGTAGTATTGGAAAGCAAATTACAATTAACTAGTATACTGTAGCGCCAAATTTTAAAGTAGCATTTGGAATTATTTTGGCAATACAGTAGCGCATATGAGAAGTATATTGAAGGAATTATTTTACTTACTGTAGCATAATATTGAAATAACATTTGGAGCTTTTGGCTTGCAATGCAGTACGCTTAGAATGAAGTAACAATTAGGAGAAATTGTTTTACATACTATACTACATTCTTTATAAATATTAGATGATAATACTTATTATATTAGTAATAATAATAATAGATTATTTATTATATTAATGATTTAATATTATTAATAAATAATATTGTAGAAATTATGAATTAAAAATAATTATTTAGATTATTTAGCTAATTTAAGTTATTTTTAATTCTGATAGAGTTGTTACAATTGTCAATTGAGTTGTCAATAGGATTGTTAGAGTCGTCAATAATGTTATTAAAATTATCAATAGAGTTGTTTTAAATTATTAAAAGTCACTTTTATTTGTTTTGCGTAATTCCACCATATTTAGAATTGTCAATAGAATAAGTTAAAGTGTCCAAATAATAATTAAAAGGCACTTGACACAAAGTAGCATATGGAAGTGTTTTGGCTTGATATACTGTAGCGCTAATTGTAATGAATTAGTACATGAAAGGCACATGATTTTATACTATAGTGGAAATAATGAAGTAGTGCTTAGGACATCTACTTGATACAGTAGCGCATAGTAGTAATTATAATTAATATGGCAAGTGGCTGGCATTATGTAGCATGTAATAAAGAAGTGGCACTTAGAAGTATTATGTAAATGCAAGTGGCTTGCTACAGTAGCGATGAATTATAGTAATATTTAATGGCATTCGTTTTACATACTGCAGCTACTACGTTCCAGTTTACAATATAAAATATTTAATAATAATGATTTAATATCTTTAATAAATAATTTTGTAGGATTTATAAAGTAGAATTAATAGAATTTTTGGCCGATAATTAATTACCTGATTTTAGTCAAAATAGTCTGAATTATTATGCAGTTTATGGTAGTAATTTTGGTTGATCTGTTAGGTGGCATTTTTGTTGAAAAATGTGAATTTTGCAGGTGAAGTCAAATTAAGTTGAATGCTTCCGGTTTATGGAATGGTGTTTGTTTCTAATTTGCCGGTATAGGCGGTAAAAATTAGTTATCCAGAAATTAATGAAATTTGACGGGGTAACTAAGTTAAATGCGTAGGTAATTATGGTTGAGTTATTTTTTAGGATTTCGACGTTTTCAAGGGCTAACCGGAATTGTGTTTGATTTGAATAAATCATGGAAGTAACATTGTTTAAACTTGTATGTTACTTGATTTGTGAATTATATTTGCAACGCATGTACAATTGTTGGTATTTCATTGTGTTGGAATATGTGGTATGTGTATGAAGGTCGTAAGTGGTCTTAATTGCATACGAGTTATTGATTGTACATTTCATGGCATGGTTGGTCTTGAAATAGAGATGGTGAAACATGGGTTCACATTTTATAGACGTTGATCCTTGAATGGAAATAGACGTAGTGACTTTGACCTGGAAAGGGAACATAGGCGGTGAAACTTGGGTTCACAAAAAAAAAAATAGACGTTGATCCTATAGTGGAAATAGACGTAGTGGCTTCGATCCTATGTGGAAAAATAAGCGGTGGAACTTTGGGTCCACAAGTCGGTACCGCATTTGCATTGGTGGCATCGAGTTGTGAGTCACATGCATAATGATATATATTATGAGTTTATGTGAAGATGATTGAGTTTGTGAAATTGGTTATGATGTGAATAAGTCGTTGTCGAATACATTGTTGTTGTTGAATATGTTGTTGTTTCTTTATGTTGTTGACTTGTTGTGACATATATCATCTAAAGGTTGTGAATTAGATGTTATGTCGTGTTGATGTTTTGTTGAGATTAAAGATGTTGATAAAAAGCTGTGAAGTGGTGAATTGTATGATCTAATCCTAAGATATTATATATTGTATATCCGATTATATGGTTCGATATCTCACCCCTTCTGTTTGAATGTTGCCCTTTGTTGGTAACGTACAGGTATTCAAGAAGGATAATTATTACCTCGTTAGTTCGAGTCGGTGTCGTTACTCTGATACGTAGCACTCAGGGGGATGAACACTTGATATTTAATTGTTGTTAATTATTTTTGTTGCTAAATTTTTAAGTTGTTTTCATTAAAAGACTTGTTGTCTTAAAGTTGTTTTGAGTCGGATAAGATGTTATGGTGTTTTCAGTTGAATTCTGTGAATCCGCTGCGTAGTAATGAAACTTGTTTTATTTTTAAAAACTAATATGGTTGTTATCGGTTCATTCGAAGCTCATGTGTTATGTATCTGAACTATAGATGATTGAATGCCGTAGTTTCAAGTTGAGAATGTAGCATTCCATTTGTTTGTCAGAAATTTTCATAACTCTGATTTTATTTAACTCGTTGGGTAGAAATGGGGTGTTACAGGTTCTATGATATATTTTCTCCCTACCTTCAGTGAAAGTTGGTGATTTTTATCTTTTTGCTACCTTCATTGAACGTTGGTAGTTCATCGTCAGTGAACGGTGGTGCTATGATATATTTTATTTCTACCTTTAGTGAAAGTTGGTAGGTCACCATCAGTGAAAGTTGACGATTGTTATCTTTTTGCTACCTTCAGTGAATGTTGGTAGTTCATCGTAAGTAAATGGCTGTGCTATGATATATTTTATCTCTACCTTTAGTGAAAGTTGGTAGGTTACCATTAGTGAAAGTTGGTGATTGTTATCTTTTTGCTATCTCTGGTGAACGTTAGTAGTTCATCGTCAGTGAACGGAGATGCTATGATATTTCTTTTCCTTTTACCTTCAATGAGAGTTGGTAGTTCATCGTCAGTGAACGTCGATGATTCTTTCTCTCTACCTTCAGTAAACGTTGGTAGCTCACCGTCAGTAAACATCGGTGTTGTTATTTCTTTCCTCTTTCTACCTTCAGTGGACGTTGGTAGTTTTGCCTTTAGTAGAAGTTGGTGTATCCTTTGACTTTTTATCATCCTCTATGAGTCGGGTCTTTGGACCCACCAGTGATTTATTTTCCTGGTCGGGTTTCTCTTTTGTTTCTTTATTTCCTTTGTTACATCCCCAATGGTGTTTTGCGTCTCTTTGATTTTATTCATATGCATTCATTCTCATAAGCATTGCATGGCATCTTAGGGCCAAAAATAAGGTTTGTTTTATATTTAAGTATCTTCGATCGCGTCGACACGAAGATTTTTAACCTTCATATCTCCGGATAGAAGAAAATTAAATAAGGGCAGTTGTTGTACCCCAATTTTTGCCCCTAAGATACCTTCATCATACCATATTGATTCAATCACAACAAGATCACATTAGGGGTTTTGGTTCTCCTCCCTATCTTTAGATTTTCTCTTTGAGGAATCACCAAGCACGTTGACTTGTTTTATTTTGTGATCATGAATATTTTGTCTTGATTTTTCTTTTTAATTAATAAAATGCAATGTTGGTTTGTCTTACTTATTAATAATGTAGGTAAAGGCAATGAGGTTTAGCAAGTTGATCCATACGTTCATGAGTTTATTTCCATGCCTTACTCAATAAATCTTGAGAAGTCCAAACCTAACCTTTGAAGTTAGTTTGGAAGAAATGGAATGGCAAGTTTTATCTTGGTTCATCACATTTAAAAGTTATCAAGATTGATTTAAAAGTACAAGGGGTTGGTTGAAGAAGTAGTCATGTTTGGACAAGACTTTGTTCCCCTTTGTAACAAGTGCATATTTCTCTCAATTCTCAAGATATGAAAGTGGTTTTGGTGGCTATGAGTTCTCATTATCATCCTAAACAACTTTTATTTACAAAGCAAAAGTTTTGGTACAAGAAGGTTGTTCAAAATTGTCAAAGTTCCTCAAAGCATTTTCTTAATCTAGGAGCTAGGGTTTTGAACTTCAAAGAACTATATCTTGCTCATCTTTTGGTATTTTTGAGTAATTCCAAATACATCCTTCTCTTCAAAAGGTTATTAACAAATCAATTCAAAGGTTTCAAGGAGTTTTCATGTGGAAGAAACTTATTGATGAAGAAAGATTACAAGTCCTCCAGATGAACCCCCAATTTCCCATGTGTGACTTGAAATAATCATAACTTGGTCAATTTTTATCACCTTGAGCCCTGTTGTACCCCAAAATTTTCCCTCCCATATTCTTCAAGAATTGCAAAGAGCATGCTTCAAAATCTCCCCAAGGGTTGCATAGTTCAAAGGCCTCCTAACAGTCAAAAACTAGGGTTTTGATTCTGACAAAGAAATTGAAGTTTCCAAGGGTCCAATCAAGTCCCACATGCCTATAAACATGGTCAAGCATCCTCATGCTAAGTTTCAAGACTTACAGCATAAAATTGCACAGTCAAAAACCCTAATTGCTCAACAGTCAACTGTAGGGGCAAAATGGTCATTTGACAGTCAAAAGTCCAAATTTTTGGTCAACATCTTATTTTGAAACCACAAACATCATTTGATCAATGCTTGATCATGATTCTCAAAGTATGGCTCAAAAAGTCTCAAGATGCAAAAGTTTCCATATTTGGACAGTTGAAAAAGTCAACTATAACTTAACCAGGGCATAACTTCCACATGGTTTATCAGAAAAATTCCATCCAAATCTCATTTTGAAGAGAAAGACATTTCCTATAACTCCTCTTCACACTTCAAGTCCAAGAAATGCTCTCACAAAAAGTTATCAATTTCAACATTATAGGTCATTTTTAAAAGTCAACAAAAAGGGACTTTAAGTCAAAGACCATAACTTGAGATTGGTAAATCAAAATGACATGGTACCAAAGGCATTGGTTAGAGGACTTCAAGACCTTTCCAAAATGTCCAAGAACATGATCAAAGCTTAAATATTGAGCAAGATATGCCTTGTGGAAGTTGGGAAATTTTTGGGAATTTTGAAAAGTCAACTTTGCTTCAAATGCCTTAAAATTGCTAATGGGCCAAAATTTCTTCCAAGAATCATCATCCAAAGGCTATGCACGACCATTGGCCCAAAGGGAAGTTATTTCATCATTTTTTATTATTTATTTGAATTTTTAATCACCATTAATTCATTTAATTAAATAAAATATGACAAAAATAGCAAAGCATGTGTTTTGAATCTTGTGATACAGCTAATAGACTCCTTAAAGACTCAAGATCTCGTGCATATCAAAAAAGGAAAGATTTGGTGCAAATTGGCATGTTCTTCATGAAGAAAATATTGAAAAAGATTCATAAAAATCAAATTTTGAAAACCATTAAAGACAAAGCTTTGGGCTTGGATTATTGACCAAAATCGTTCCTTATACAAGCACAAACCTAACCCTAATGCAGAGAACCTTGGAGTTGCGCCCAAAAACTCAAACCAACTTTACATTTTTCATCAAATTTTTCAAAACTGAAAACGACATTGCAGGGAGTTTCAAGGCGAAAGAACTATTCCAAAAGCTTCCCAAGGTTACCAGGAATCGTTTCCAATCAGAATCACACTTCCATACTCAAAGAATTGGTAGATGGGAACTTGACTTTCTTTTAAAAATTGCATATTCGTGTTTGAATTTATACATACTTTTCATGCATTTTAATGTTTGAACTATACTAATGTGATGATTCTAAAGCTAATGATGTGATTCAATTGGAAGCTCTTTAGGGTTTCTAAACTGTGAAATTAGGGCTTTGCGTTTGGGGAAAAATTGGCCAACAAGACCAGGACCATTGGACTCAGAAGCTTCACACGAATTTAACACATATGTCGTGCTCAATTTATGAGCAACCATGGCGTAATCGCTATTTTCTTATACTGTAGTTAGTGGGGGTTCAAAACCCCCGCTATTTGATATGTTTTTTCAGGCAAAAGCAAGGGCGTGGTGGAGAAGACGCTGAGGTGTCTCAACCATACAGGGACATTCATATTTTCGCGCATTTTTTCATGTTTACCAAATAACGTTTGTTCTCTCTCATATGAATCAGATTCCATTAATATTACAAAGAGCGCGCTTGGCACAGTTGGTTGATGCGTTGTCCCTTAAGCACTGTGACCTGGGTTCGATTCCCAGGTCCCCCATATTTCTCAATGAATTTTGTTTTAATGTGATTCCATGCAGTGTACGCCCAGGGGTTCATCATACACCCACTATCCGAGCGTGCCACATGTCTCAGAACATCAATCCAATGGCCATGATCTGAGGAGCACCCTATGCATTGGTCAATGGAGCCACACGTGACCACAAAAAGTCAACCAGACCTCCAATAAATGGGCCAAAAAATGCTGGAAAATACCTCCAAATTGGGGTCAACACCCCCCATTGGTTTGCTTTTGTCATTCTCTTCATTTTTTCTATTTTTATTTGTTTTATTTAGTTTTAATTTCAATTCTTTAAATTAATTTTTCATAACATAAAAAAATAATAAAAAAAATCAGAAAGACAAAATAAAAAAATATATTTTATTTAATGCTTTTTTTTTGTAAATAAATTTTATTAATTAATTTAGTTTTAATTCTAGGTTTAATTTTAATATTTTTCGTAATAAACTAAAAAATGTAGGATTAGGGTTAAATACTTTTATTCTTTTTCTTTTCTTTTACCATATTTTATTATCAATTATTTTGTAAATAAATTGCCATATAAATAATTAATATAAATTAGGTCAAACATAAATATTTTCTTAATAAATAAAAAAAAACAATTTAGAATTAGGGTTAATTAACTTTTCTTTTTAAT